AGGCTCAGTTGTCTGCTGTCACAAAGCTAATTAGGAAAAGACGAAATCCAGACATCTCTTTCCTCTTCCCTCGGGGTCCTCGGAGCCTGATTCAGCTCCCATGTCCGTCTGTAAGTCTGCATCCCCGCTCCATCCGCCTCCATCCTGCAGCCTCTTCCTTCACCTCCGTGCACCTGTGCCTTCAGAGAAGACGGAGCCAGTATGGAGCACATACAGGACAGAGCAAACCTCTTTCTGAAGAGTGCTGGTCATTCTTCCTATGCCCGATGTTTATCTGTCGATGCTAAAATAGTCCATCAATGTGAGGATGGAGGGAGAGAAGGGAATAAAGGGGTCGCTCTCCCTGCCCCACTCTCATCTTCTGTCTCACAGGCCATGAAGTCTTAACTCCTTGAGTTTTGATATCTTGTTCCTGCATATCTGACTCTGACAACATGACATGCTTCCCACCCTTTTCTGCTCCAGCCCTTCCCCAAACATGCTTTTTTACTTTCCCGCTTCTGTATCTCTGTCTTGACACCAGTCAGCATGGGAAGACCTGTCTATTCAACACCTCTGCCCATGGGCCTTGGTGCTGCTCAGGATCCAGCTTCAGTGCCCCTTCCTTGGAGTGAGGGCACAGGGAGTGAGGCAGGGAAGGGGAAACTCACAGAGGATGTGCCAGGAGGAGGTGATACGGTGGGCGACGGGGGCGGGGGGAACACCCCAGAGAGTCAGAGGCCAAGAAGTGCAGATCCAGGAAAGCAGGAGCGGTAACAAAGGGAACAAGGAGGGAAGGAAGAAGCACGAATGTACGGTGAGTTGTGAAGCTGGCTGCCATAAGTGCCACCTGATTGCTTCTTCTCCCAGTAGGAACCACGGGAGGCTGTATAAACTACGTGTCTCAGGACTCCCCACCAGCAGATGGGAGGGAGAATGTACCTACTACCCTGATTCCCTGAAAATAAGACAGTGTCTTATATTTATTTTTGCTCCCAAAGATGTGCTAGGTCTTATTTTCAGGGGATGTCTTATTTTTCCATGAAGAAGAATACGGTACATATTTATTGTTAAATGAAAATAAAGGAAATTTATTACCTGTATACGGTACGGTAGTACGGTAGTGGTCAACACAAACCAGACAAACTGTGAATCCTACAGTATCAAGAATTTACTCATTTATTCAATGACAATCATGTCATCATCTTCTGGAACATCATCATAACAATCCAATTCCTGAATTTCCTGGTGAATTCCTTGTGACTCCATTTCTTTCAGAATCAGTGGACCAAATCTCTCATGTTTAGCAATAGCACTGTCTTTAAATGAGTACTTCTTGTCAAAGTAGCCTCCTCTTAGTGCATTTGCAATGCAATTGTCAGTGATTTTCTCCCATGAATTCTTTACCCAAGTCACAACTTCTTGCAGTTTAGGTTTCACAAAGTTTCCACACTGATTTCTCTCCATTCTATTTTCAATATAGTCATTAATTTCCATGCACTAATTGTCTTTGAATGGCTTGTTTATTGCAATATCAAGAGTCTGGAGATAGGCCATCATTCCTGCGGGAATCATTATCTGATCTGTTTTTCTTTTGTGAAGAAATGTCTTCATGTCTTTAGCACGGTGAGTGCTGGCTGCATCCCAGACTAACAGACCTCTTTGGCTCCCTCGCATAGCAAGTGGCAGCATTAAATCGACCCACTTTCTTATAACTGCTTGTGTGGCCCAGCCTTTTGCAGTTTCAAGAATAAAAACACCCAAAACACGTTCAATCTTTTCCTTCTTGCCCTTAGAAATGATTAAAGGTGGGCCGAAACCAGTTTGGCTCAGTAGTAGAGCATCGATCTGCAGACTGAAAGGTCCCAGGTTCAATTCTGGTCAAGGGCATGTACCTAGGTTGCGGGCACATCCCCAGTAGGGGGTGTGCAAGAGGCAGCTGATCGATATTTCTCTCTCATTGACGTTTCTAGCTCTCTATCTCTCTCCCTTCCTCTCTGTGAAAAATCAATAAAATATATTTTAAAAAAGAAAAAAGAAATGATTAAAGGTGGGATTTTAGTGCCATCCAGATGAATTGCCAAAATACAGGAATCACGTGTACTTTTGTAAGCAGTGGAGGGAATGTACACTAAGGAGGCATCCCATTGTTCAATTGTTGTTTGAGATGATTGGCCCATAAACACTGCAGTTTCATCCATAGCAATCAGGTTGGAAAGACTGTATTTAGAGAAGTCAGCATCATCAATAAAGGACTTGAATGCAAGTGCTCGCTTAATAACTTGAGTATCTTCCAACCTGTTGTAGATCTTCTTAAAGACAGTGAAGGAAATTATCCAGCCAGTGTTGTAATGCTTTGAAGTCTTTTGGGACTATGTCAAACTGTGGTGCCATTGCAAGGGCAAATTCTTGAATCTGAGCCCTATTCACAACCAAAGCCTTTGCTCTCCTGTCAACAACCCATTCACAGATCAGGTCTTCCAGCTCGGAAAATAATGGTTGCCAACCTGATCCACACTTTTGCTTTTTAGCATTTCCCTTGTCCGCTTGTTCAATGAGGTTACCATACTCTGCTCACCATTTTTGGACCAATCGGATACTCAACATCTTCTCTTTGCAGAAAGCAGTAAGATTTTGGCCCCAAGAGTCTTCCGTGATTCCTTTCTTGTACTTCACAGAATAGCTTTTCCTTTTTGCGCTCATTTCTAGGGGTAAAAAAAAGGAATTGGGGTATCAAGGTGGGGGGAGAGGGATCACTTAAAATGACACAGGGGGGATCAAAATGGCACAGGAGAATCAAAATGGCACAGGAGAGGGGAATTACTATTTTATTTTTTTATTTTTTGGAATTACCATTATAGTAACCCCTTTTGATCCTCCTGTGTCATTTTGATTGCCCCTCTGATCCTCCTGTGTCATTTTAAGTGATCCCCACCCCTGTGCCACTGAACACCTTCACCAGACACCTCCTTACCCCTTTATCAACATTTACCCCCTGGGGCCTGCCTGGGGGACTGTCACTGGGCTTGCTGGAGCCTGGATCTGGGCTGGAGCAGGGTCTGCCACTGACTGAGAACCTTCAGCCATCATGAGGGTGGCCACGAGCATCAGGTAGTGTCACTAGAGATAGACCAGCACTCACCACCTTCGCTGTCTCCTGTCAGCTCTAATCCTCCTGTTCTTCTACAGGCATCTGGCATCTGCGAATATCTCCTCTCTCCCACCCCGAGCTCACCACTCACTCCGACCTCCGCTCCGCCTCCACAAAGCAGTGACGTCAGGACTCCGAGTAACATTACTGGTTGCTAGAGGCCAGTCGGAGCGGCCCCAGTGACCAGTATACAGTAAATTAATTTTCATTCTGAGACAGATCCTAGGGGGCTTTATTTTCGAGGGATGCCTTATATTTCACTCAGAAGGAAACCTGTAAGTGGGTCTTATTTTCGGAGGATGTTTTATTTTCGGGGAAACACGGTAGCTCCTTTCTCCCATCGCCAAAGGCTCATTTGACAGGGACTTGGGGCTGCTGCACATCCACAGTGCACTTGGGTGGCCACGGGGAGAACCCGCAGCAGAGGCCTCAGCATTAAGCGATGCCCGGGGGTAGGTGAGAACGGTGTGGCTGTGCCTGAGAGGAGGAGCTGTCTATGGGTGAGGAGGTTGGTCTGAATCTCATCTGAGGCTGGGGCTGAAGAGACTGGGGTAAGTGAGAGCAAGAGGATCTGAGCAGCTTATGGAATGTGTGCTTGATTCACCAATCTGAAGTAACCCACTGAAGATGACCTGGACCCACATATCATGTCAAGAAACTTTTCTGAAGAATGTGAAGCATCACCACAATGAAAATCCACGCTTTCCATTGTGAAAATCTGGCACATCAAACTAAAATCAAGTGAAGCTCAGTGGAAGAGGAATTCTTTCCCAGAATGCCCGATCTCAGTGAATACAGGTCTCCGGGGAGCTGGAGAGGTACCGGGAGAATGAAATGAAAAAGGAAAATAAATTGAGTGAAGCAAGTCGGAATGAGCTCAAAGTCAGAAGACCTTGTTACTCTCAGTAAGATTAAAAAAGAGGTTCTCGCCGAAACTGGTTTGGCTCAATAGATAGAGCGTCGGCTTGGGGACTGAAAGGTCCCGGGTTCGATTCTGGTCAAGGGCATGTACCTTGGTTGCGGGCCTATCCCCAGTAGGGGGTGTGCAAGAGGCAGCTGATTGATGACTCTCTCTCATCGATGTTTCTAACTCTCTATCTCTCTCCCTTCCTCTCTGTACAAATCAATAAATTTATTATTTTTTTTAAAGAAAGAGGTTCTGTGGTTCACTCAACAGCAGATAGTCTATAAAAAATTTTTAGCTGTTTTAACTTATTTTTACTTGCCACCTACTATGAAGCATTAATTGCAAGGATATGTTTATGAATTTACATTAAAGTAGAGGGAACACTCTGCTCAGAATCTTTATAGGTGCTGTACTGGAAGGGAGGGAACATTAAGAAAATGGAATGTGTTTATCTGTTGGAAGAATGTGAGCAGTAGGAGAAATACAAGCCTGAATAGACATTACTTAAAGGAGGAGAGAGAAAATGCACATGACTTCAATTTCTTTATAGTCATCAGCTCTATATTTATTTTTAAATCTGTATACCATGGAATTTAATTATGAGTAGATGTTGATAAAATGGTTAACACTGTTTCTACAATCATGCAGTAATATTTCTAAAGGAATTATTTTACTTTAAAGAGAATATTTGAAGTGTTGAATATTCCCATTTAAATTCTGCACCCAATGAAGAAATTCAATTACTGAGTTTTTCCATATAGGCAAAAAAAATGATCTAAATGTTTTAAAATTAATATAGAGCATAAATATGTTGTTAAAACACTTAAAAGGGTTATAGAGAAGACTAAACATAATGAATACAATAGTGAAGATAGTGCAACTTTGTTTTATACAACAAATACTTTTCAATTTCTGGCTTAAAAGCTCTGTAAACTTCTACAGAAACCAGTCTATGGAATCATATCACTTGGCATATTCTTGAAGATCAAGTGCTTGGTTATAGTCAGCCATAGCTTCCTCGATCACACCTATTTTACCACGAACTTCTGCTCTAAGATTATATATCAGGGCATCATTAGGATTCAAAGACAGAGCTGTAAAAAGAAAAAATGCAAGATGTGTTTTATGCTAACACTCAAAAGGTCTCAATTTTTAGAATAAAAATCTTATAACAACTTTAGTATTACTTGTTTAAAAACATTTTCTTCACATGCACCTATTTAAATTTAAAATATTGAATCTTTCTTAGAAAATTTAATTGGAGAAACACTACAATGTCTTTCTTTGAAAGACTACCAATGTTTGTATACAGTTTCCCTAATAATTTTTTGCATTTTAACTTACCAATACTGCAAGTTATTACATAAAGGAACCTATATTGCTTACATTAAAGACATGGTATATAAAAACATTCATTTCTAATGTAAGTTTTTCTAGACAAATAAACCTGGTAGGTTTGTTCTTTAATTATTTAAAAAACACATCAACCACTGTAATCTTACCCAAAACATTACAAAAAATTTACCTTTACTTAGGTCTTCCTCAGCTAATTCATATTGCTTTAAACAACAGTAGAACTGTGCTCTATTAAAATATGCTGCAGCCCAAAAGGGACAGTTTTCAACTACTTTTGCAAAATCTTCTTTTGCTGCTTCATACTTCTTTAATATTGTATTTGCAATAGCTCGATTCATGGCAGCACATTCATTTTTTGGATCAAACTGTAAAGCCTTTGAGAAGTAGTCACTGGCCTATAAAAATGTGAAGATAATGATAATTTGACTACAATTTAATTGGCAGCTATACAGAAATTTGAAGTATTTTACTCTTAATATAAAATTAAGGCCAATGGCATTTCCAGGGGATTCTGGAAGCATTTCATCCCAGATTCAGGTGATAAGAAGGTACATTGTCTGTAGAGAATGCAAAAAACAGTAATAAAACTGGCCAACAGTTGGTCTGCTTTTTGTTATTACCATAAGTAGACAATTCTAGACAACATCAGTGATGAAGGAGATTTGACCATGCAATGCAATATACATATGATGTATTATAGAACTGTACAGTTAAAACCTATATAATCTTAACCACTGTCACCCCAATTAAGTTTTTTAAAAAAATAAATACTCTATTAAGGTGAAATGTTTCACTGCCTTACCCAACCCCATAAATCCCACATCCCTGCATAGGACAAAAAAGGTAAAAATATAAATTAGAAAATAAGGTCCCAATAAGAAGATAAAAGGATATTAGAAAATTAACACTTTTCATATAAAAGCAGAGTATCTAAGAGCTAAAGAGATAAATTTTGAAAACAACATTCTGAAGCATATTAAAAAGGGACTAAAAATTCAGTTATATTATGAAAAGTTATAAGGAAGGATGAGAGAAGATAAACACAAGCTTGTCAAGAAGATCAAAGACTATCTTATTTATAAGTCATCATCAAGCTGGAAGGACCCTTTCAAGTGTGGTCCATATACCAGTACTGGAGTATTGATCAACAACAAATGAGAAATTTAAAAAAGAAAAAAAAAAAAAACTGGTCCTTCACCACAAATGGCTTGAGATGCAGATTATACACCCTACATTGAAGGTAAGAATCTCTTCTCTAACTCCATGATGGATGACAATCTGGCTCCTACTTTAGACTTCCCTAAAGAAAAGCTCATTTTCCACAATAGAGCTTGCTCTCTCCAGTTCCTTACCACGTGATTTTTCCCCAGCACCACAATATGACTTCCACCTACCTCTTCCTCTTCCCTCAGTTTGCTCTTATTAAAGTGGAGGATGACCTAAAGTCCAGTGGTCATTTTTTAGTTATTTTCTTCCATGACGTTTCTGTGGCATGAGCACTCTTAACCTCTCCTTCCTTCTTAAAAGTCTCTCTGTCCTTCAATCAGGGTGACTCCCTGTTTTTTCTCCTAGCTTGCTGATCACTTTCTGTCAGTGCCCTTCACTGAACTATTTTTCGCTTTTTCTCGGGGATTTTTCCTCAGTTCACTTCTATCATTAGTGAAAGGAAATCCTGATAGCATGGTCAGGAGCCCAGACCATGGAGCCAGATTCCTAGGTTCAAATCCTGGCTCTACTATCTCTGCTTTTAGGTAACTAAAGCTCTCTTTTCCTCAACTTTTCACATCTGTAAAATGGAGGTAACAAATATATATCTATGACCAGTGCTGCTATGAGGGTAAAGTGTGCTAATAATAAGTATTGAGAATGGTATGCAGAATTTAGTAAGGACTAAATTATTATTGATATTAGAGGCCTGGTGCACAAAATTCATGCATGAGTAGGGTCCCTAGGCCTGGCCTGTGATCAGGGCTGACCGGAGCCTTCCTTCATTCTTCACTGTCCCCTGGTGGTCAGCACACATCATAGAGAGTGATCAAACTCCTGGTCTCCTGGTCAAACTCCTGAGGGGACACTTTGCCTATTAACCATATATATAATTTTTCCCCGTGTCTACAAATGAAGATACATCATAGCCTTCAGGCAATACTCCATGAACTTGGCTGCCTATGACTTTTGAGAGGCAATTAGATCAAGATTTTGTAACCCATCTCATCCCAGAATGGCAACTCTTCTATGCTGCAGTTAAGTGCAATTGAGGATGTTAAGATGGCAACAGAACTGGCTTCCTGTGAAAAGCTTAAAGAGAATTTACTCCTGAACAGAAAGCTGGACTCACAATCATCAGAAATTAGGCAAGGGAACGACTCTGAGCAGGGATAAGACTTTCTTCAAAAAGCAATTTGGGCCCTGGCCTGTGTTACAGTGTTGGCCCACACACCAAAGAGTCTCAGGTTCCATTCCCAATCAAGGCCTGTGCAGGAGGCAACCAATCTAAGTGTCTCTCACATCAATGTTTCTCCCCTCGACCATCTTCCTTCTCTTCCACTCTCTCTAAAAATCAAGGACAAAAATATCCTCAGGTGAGAATTAACAACAACAACAAAAGCAATTTAGGCTTCATCTTAATTCATCAATAAATGATTAATAAAGGCAATACAATTATACATCACCAAAGCAAAACTTCAGTCAGGAAGGAGTAAATGCCTACCACAGCTAAAAATAATAGAATTTAGTAAAACACAATGTGTGCCTAACTTTGAACAATCTATCTTTTTATTAAAATTTCCAAAATATATTGTTCAAAACTAGAAGCCTGGTGCACAAATTCACGCACATTGAAAATAAATAAATTAGAAGAAATATTTTAGAGGTTGGGGAGGGACTGCAGGCAGTTGGCTCCAGGGCATGTCCAGCCCATCTCCCCCAGTCCTGATTGGGGTCCATCAGGGCCATCTCGCCCAGTCCCCATCAGGACCAATCAGGGCTGGCCGGCCAGGGAGGGGCTGTGGGAGGGCTCCAGAGCATGTCTGGCCCATCTCACCCAGTCTCAATTGGCCAGACCCCAGCAGCAAGCTAACCTACCAGTCTGAGCATCTGCCTCCAGGTGGTCAGTGTGCATCATAGCAACTGGTCAAAGGGTCGAATGAATGGTGGACCAATCAGTCAAACACTTAGCATACTAGGCTTTTATATACATAGATAGGAAAGCCTATACATTTAAATAGGATTTTTGAAGTAGAGAAATATTAACGATGAATCAGAGGCCAAAAACACCAATCACAATGGATGGCCTTGATTTTTTAACAATTGTTCCAATGCTCTTATAACTGTAATTAATTAGAAAGCAGATCCAATTACTTTTTAAAGTCACCTATAATTCCCAATGCATACACAAACCTCATCCAAAGTTGTTTAAAAGCACTAATTAATGATTAAAGTTGTCAAAATGCATACATGTTTCAACCCTCTAGAGATTATTTGCTCTGATGAAGGACCCTTTCTCCTGACCATAAATCTTTCCAGTAGAGTCAGAAACAAAGGTAAGAGGCCTGGAGCATAGTAATATAGCTGAATGACTATATTAAAGTATGTATGTCTTTAATAAAGCCCAATTATCCAATACATCAAGACAGAGGGCTACATACATTTCAAATAAGATATTTTCCCAGCAAATGTATCCCCAGTTTTTAAGAAAGAACCATAAAAATATACTAGTATGTCAAAGTACACTTCGGATCTAACTGAAAAGTGTCATACATGATGCCCAGAGTGATTAAAGACAAATATGTTTAAAATGTAAAGGTCTCCTTCTCATGTGGATCTTAAACATTTAAGGAAACAGAAAATTGCTGTGGGCATTTTAGTTGTCTTCATCTCATTAACTAACTCCGTGGTGTAAAGAAACATTGTTAGGACCTAGCCAGACAGTGGTCTGAGTTTGATGAAGTTTAAGTCAATTGACTCTGGCTTGTCAGCCTAGGGCCATTGTTGGCAAACTGTGGCTCTCAAGCCACATGTGGCTCTTTGGCCCCTTGGGTGTGGCTCTTCCACAAAATACTACAGCCTGGGCGAGTCTATTTTGAAGAAGTGGTGTTAGAAGAAGTTCAAGTTTAAAAAATGAATCAGATGTATCATTCTGTTGATGCAGATTATACACAGAACAACAGAACAACAGATGTAGTTCTGTTGATATTTGGCTCTGTTGAGTAATGAGTTTGCTGACCACTGGCCTAGGGAAATAGTAGCCTCCCAGCTGTCCACTGAGGTATCAGCTACAAGTCTCATTCATGCTTTACAGAATTATACTTTCAATAATTCTCTGTCCAAGCACCTAGCTTCACCACTGAAGTCAACCTGGCTTACCACAGGGATCAGCAAGCTGTTCGGGATCATGATCTAACTTAGGAAAGAATAAGAGCTAAACAAGACAATGTCAGAAGACACAGAATGAAAGGGATAAGTCTGGGGGGCGGAGGTGGGGGCAGTTAGTAAAACTGACATAATTATATTGAGGAGAGGAAGAGAAAGTCATGGTTGACGCTGGTGTTTTTACCAGGGTGATTTTATGAAAAATGACGTCTTATGTTGAGAGAAGATTTATATGAAAAATCACTGTACTGGGGTGGAGGATATAGAAATTCTGTTTTGGCCTAATGCACTTGTAAAATATCCAGATTTAGCAACTGGTGACAAAAATGGGTTAGGAGCTCAGAAGAAAGGTGGAGGCTGACATGCAGTCTAAACCATGGGTACAGACAAGCTTTCTGAGTAAGAAAATCTAAGGAGAAAAAGAAGGGCTTTGATTCCTGGCCTTCCGAGTTTATAATCTAATTGGAGTGAGAAGATGAGAGATCAACATACAGAGACAAGTGTGGAATGACACAAAATTGAATATGTATAGAAAGAATTGTTTACAAATCAGTAGAGTCAAGATCTCATTTTAAATTCATGACCACAAACCTCAAATGACAGCTTAATGTTTGATAACTATGGATGGTGCTAGGTGGGGGGATTGCTTCTTAAATTCTATAAATGTCTAAACACTATGCTATACACCTAAAGCTAATAAAAAATATTGTCATTGGTAATTGAAAAAAACTTTAAAGAAAAAAAAAAGAATTGTGCCCTGAAAGACAAAAATACAGCTTATTCTTTTCTGCTACATTTCCTAGTGTGTTCACCCTACCACTTTCTAACACAAGCATTTTGTATTTTCTCTACCAACTCCTAGCCACACCGTTTTTCTTTTTAACTGTCCACCCTCAACCAATAACTAATACTTGTATTACAAGGAGGAAATATAACAGTAAGAATGCCTACTACCAATATTTACCAAACTATAGTCAGCTGTGCCCTGACTCTCTACCTTCCCTCATGACACAATGCATTGTGCATCCTGCTCCATGCAAAGGCCACCCCCGCAACTTCCAAACTCTAACCCCATCAAATTCTCAAAGACTTGCAGCCTAATTGTCCCTGCCACTCTCCTGCATCCATAACTTCTACCTTTCTCTTAGATCCTTCTCATTAACATGGAAGCATGAATCAATTAGTGCTCATCTGAAAAACACTTCTTAACCCACTCTAGCTACTACCCCATTTCACTATTCTTCATAGAAGAATGTCTTGAACCAGCAGAACAGCCCCTAATTCTTCACCTCACATTCCCCCCAACCCTTCCCACTCAAGCCTCTGCTGCACTGCTGTTCCAGCGATGTTCTTGCCAAAGTTCTCAATGATCTCGTCCACCCTCCTCGTCCCTGACATCTCGGCAGCATTGGACACAGGACACTGTTCCCTTCTCAAAACTCTTATTCTTGAGAGTGACATGCTCTCTTGCTTATCCTGGCTGTATGCTCCTGCCTCAGTCTACTTTCTGGCCTCTCGTTTCTGCTTCACTTCTAAACATTGGTTCTCCCCAGGACCTGCTCCTTAAACCCTTTCTCTCCATCTATACTAGTTACCAGGTAATCTTATACGGTCTCACAGATATGCTAATGCCGATGTAACAATGCTTAGGTGAGACTGTATTAGGCATGTATCGCTTCAAATATTTTCTTATTTATTTTCTTTTTCTTCCTCCAAGAAAGGACAAACTACATCATAAAAGAATCCTTTCTTACCTTGTTCAGCTCTGTATTCTCAAGGCGTTTTTAAGTGCCTATCATATGGCAGGTACATCATAAATATGTGGAGATTGAAAGAATGAAAAGCTAACTGGAAACAGAAAATTCTTGCTGAATTTTTTTCAGCAAAATATAGATAAGAAACAGCCTCTTTACACATAAAAGCCTCAAGGTTCATTTTATTAAGAAGTGTTGTGAGCCCTAGCTGGTTTGGCTCAGTGGATAGAGCATCGGCCTGTGGACTGAAGGGTCTCAAGTTCGATTCCAGTCAAGGGGCATGCTCGGATTGTGGGCTCAGTCTCCAGTAGGGGACTTGCAAGAGGCAGCTGATCAATGACTCTCATCATTGATGTTCCTATCTCTCTCTTTCTCCCTCTCCCTCTCCTTTCCTCCCTGAAAGCAATAAAAATATTTTTTTTAAAAATGAAGAAGAAGAAGAAGAAGAAGTATAGTGACAGTTTTGAGTGGTGAAGGAGAATATAAAAGTGACAGGTCTCAAAAAATGCAGGCAATAAAAGCAAGTTTTTAAATGAGCACATTATTTTAGAAGACAAGGGCTGTGAAAAGCTCAGAGAAACACAGACTGTGTGGTAGCCTTCCAAACCAATATAGGCTTGGAAGGTCACATTGTAAAGTCCTTTACTATAGCATCAGAGGGAGCCCAACTTAGCAACTTACGGCCTGCCCTCCTATTTCCCACAAGAACCTCTGCTACCGTATTAGAGAAGAAAAATAATTTATTACATTCAAATATGAGTAACAGAAAGTAATTCACCTGCCTTCATGGCAAAAAAAAAAAAAAAAAAAGATGAAAGTAACTTTATTTTTTTAAAGTAAAAACTCACCAGAAAAAAAGAACTGCTAGTCTCAGTGGTCAGCAAACTCATTAATCATCAGAGCCAAATATCAACAGTACGACCATTGAAATTTCTTTTGAGAGCCAAATTTTTTAAACTTTAACTTCTTCTAATGCCACTTCTTCAAAATAGGCTCGCCCAGACCATGGTTTTTTGTGGAAGAGCCACACTCAAGGGACCAAAGAGGCACATGTGGCTCATGAGCTGCAGTTTGCCGACCATGAGTCTAGATTAAGATTATAATGTAGCATTTTTAAATGAACTAGAAAAAATTCATTATAGAATCAATTGCGTTTAAGAAAAAAGTAATTCAGAAACAAAGGGTCTCAGAAAAGGCATGGCCGATAAGGCCTGACACGGAAACAAACAAACAAACAAAAAACCTAAAGAGAACTTAATTCTAAGGTCTACAAGGGGACAATAAATATCTAAAAAAAAAAAAAAAAAAAAAAAAACATGGAAGAAGGCAATAAAAATGAAAAAGAAATTAAGAGCTTTAATAAATGAGAAAAAAAATAGTTGATATATAGAAACTAAAGGACAGGAGATAGATAGAGTTGCCCAATGAAGAAAATCAAAACCATGAAATTTTCAAAAACCAAAACCATAAAATTTTCATTGAATTCAACAAAACTTTTCTGAAATCTACATATTGAAAACATACTGTGTGCTTGTTAACTTTGACACCAATGGTCAACTCTAAGGCATGCATTGTTAAAACTTTTCATTAAAAAAATTTGGTTATCCTAACAAAGAGTCACAAATAACAAAACTTGAATTGTATCCAAGCTTCTTGACATCAACCTACAATTTCAAAAACAGTGAAACAACACAAGATACTCAAGAGAAAAAAAAAAAAAAAAAGAGTCAAGGGTTTTAAATCCAAAATTGCCTCTAGCTTTGATATCCTTAAGATATCAAAGCTAGAGGCAAACAGTGATGAACATGAAAAAATCCAAGGAACACTGTTCACATGAGCCCTTTCTCAGAACTCTATTAAAAGGACCAACTTCAGACAACCAAGAAATGATTGGTTGGGATGGAAACTGGCAAAAAACCAGGTAATGAAAAATGAATATCTTAACTGGAGAACTAAGATGAACATTTGAAATAAGAGTAACAAAATGTACACAAATATTAAATCCTTTGGCAGCATAGGAATTATGGAACTCACAAGACAATGGGAGAACACTGACAGTGGAAAGTAAGCTGATACAATAAACGCAAGCATATTTAAGAATACAAATAGAAAAAAATGTAAAAGAGTATACTATTAAGTAAATTCAATAATAGATGAGAGGGAGAGTAATTTATTGTTGTTCATAGTAGAGAAACTAAAAATACAAGGAAATAAGAGTATAAAACTGCTATTATAAAGGTAGTCACTATGGCAAAACTGTAAATTCCTCAATATCAGAAAAAAAAAAAAATTAAACAAACCGCAGAATAAAATTCTTCTAAAACACATGAAAGCAAAAATAATAGAACAAAAACATATTGATTATGCTAAAATGAAAATGGGCTTAACCCACCTATTAAAAGATAATTATTTTCAAATTGGCTTTTTTCTCTTCTTTTTAAATAATTCTTTATTGTTGAAAGTATGTACCCCTTTTCCCCCATTAACCCTGTTCAGCAAGCCCACCCCCAAGCAAAATCCAACTCTACGCTACATAAAAGAGACACATCTAAAACAAAAGATTCTAAATGCTGAAAATAAAAGGAAGGACAAAGAAATACCAGACTAAAGCAAATCAAATGGAATCTGAGGTCAGATCTGATTTATTCCAAAGAGCTTTAAAAAACAAAGAAGGGAATTTATAATGCTGAAAGTTACAATATGTAGTGTATATATAATATGTATTAACATGTATACAAGAAATAATGCAGCAGCAATTTTCATAAAGCTGAAATTATAAGAAATTATTAAAAAAATTATATAGAACCAAACTAATGACATGATACTTAAATAAACCTCAGTCCAACATCAACCAAATTAAAAAAAAAAAAAAGAACGGCTATTGACTAATTAAAAATATAATTAATAAGGTATATCTTATACTTCTTTGAAAAGAACCCTTTAATATTTTTCAATACTTGCCATATATTAGACCACATTAAAACTCAATTAAGAAACAAAATTAGAAAATATAAAAGCCTTTCCATCTTGACATTTCAAATGCCTTATTAATTTATTATTGAGTCAAAAGGGAAATAAAATTACAAGTGCAAAATTTTGGGAAAACAAAAATTGAAACTTCAAAACACAAAATATGTAGGTTACTGCTAAAAGCAGTACTTGGAGTGTAGGCATAGCCATAATAATTTATCACAAGGGAAATGAAAGGGTGGCAATAAATTATTAGCTTCTGACTCATAAAGATAAAGAATGGATAGTAAGTCCAAAATAATGTTTGCTGGACAAATGTTGAATGGATGGTGATAATGAGGAGAATAAATCCAGAGAGGTTAAACATTTAATTAATTATAAACCATTCTTATGAAGGACAACATTTGTTTAAAAAAGAACTAATAAATGATTAGCCTAGGATATAAGAACTGAATTTCAAAACTATATATAACAAAGAAAGCATTTCATGTAAAAAGAAAATGTTAAAGAAAACTCATATTACCTGGGAAAACTGCCTGTGGTGAAAGTAGATATTTCCTGCATTAAAGTAAGCCAGTGCATAGGTAGGGTTTAGAGAAATTGCTGCTTGATAGTCTTTCATTGCGTTTTGTTTCTGACCCATAAACTCATGAATCACACCACGGTTTGTTAAGTATTCTGCTGTAGCATTGATCTGCAATTTAATAGTATGAGTATTTAGCATCTGGGAATAGTATTTATCTCCCATTTCGTAACTGCAAAAATGAACATTATGAAATCTACTTGTGGGAAGCTAGTAACTTTATAGTTCAGGTGAAACCCTGTTAGAGCAAATATTTTGAGAGAGGACTTGGTATGAAGTTGGCTCAATGTCAACACTTTGTTGATTTTGGTTATAATAAAATAAATAATCTTAGTGCTTTACTCAGTTTCTTTCCAAAGAAACTCTGCTTAGCTCTGTTAAGGCTGGAAAAGAAATTAAATAATTAACATGTTTATTTGTCCTAAGAAGCAGCAATTATCTTTAAGGTCTTTCCTTCTTCTCACCTCAAAGATTACAATATTTACCTGAAACTACAAAAACAGAATCCAAAAATCTCGGGGGGATGGGTAGGGGGGAGAGAAGAGGAAGATTTTCTTTCATTGTATACAAAACCTGAGGTATTTATTTGCTTTTTCACTACAGAAGAATCTGGGGAATTACATTATTCTTTCTGTAGTGCCTTCAAACCCAGAGCAATATTTTTTGCATTCATTTTTTTATTACAAAAACTAGAGGCTCAGTGCACAGATTCATGCACATGAAAGTAAATTAATTAGAAGGTGGCTGGCAGGATAAGACGGGCCAGACACGCCCTAGAGCCAACTTTCCTAGGTCCCTCCCCAGCCAGCTGCACCTGGAGCAGCACTGATACTTGGATGGCATCTGCGAAGTGAGCGGGGTCCCTCAGGCAGGTGGGGTCCTTCTACCTGGCCTGTGGAGATCAGGCCGAAACCGGCAGTCCAACAACCCCTGAAGGGTCCAGGAGTGCGAGAGGGCACTCTACAAAGTTGCTGTTGTTCCGCAGGTTCTGCGTTGAGCATCTGCCCCCTGGTGGTCAGTGTGCACCATAGCTACTGGCCTGTCTCTTAGGCTTTTATATACAGCCAGTCCTCTGGATACCTTGGACTCAACTTACGTCATTTCTTACTTACATCACCATCTCTCATTTACAGTGTTTATAAAAAAAAAAAAAAAAGTTCTGTCATTTCGACATATATACATATGTGCTTTATGTTTTTTATAATTTATTTACCACAAGTAAAGGTCAGGAATTATCTTTCTTTTAAATTTTTTTACTGTTTCGCTTGATTACTGCTGTGTATGTGCTCCATGTGAGTGACGTAGGTGCTTATGTAGGTGGGGTCCCACTTACAGCGAAAATCGAGTCACGCCATGCCATAGGAACAGATCTCCAACGTAACCTGAAGATTGCCTGTATATAGATAATATTGATGCCCCATAAAACTATAAATTGCATTTACTGAGAGAATCAACATTTACCAGGATTTTTTTTTAATGTATTCAGGTTATAGAACTGGCAAGCCATAATAATTCTTTAGGGATCTCTTGGAACAAAATATATATATTATTTTCTCCACAAATCACTTTAAAAAGTAACAGAATATTTTTATTTAACCCTATTCATTGATGTGTTAACTTATGCCAATTATAACACAACCTACATGGATTTTTACCTTAATGGCAATGTTAATGTCCTGTATTGCAGCGAAGTTATCGCCCATCTGAAGACAGACCACAGCTCTCCCTTCATAGGCTAGGTGGCACTTTGGATCAATTTCTATGCCAATGGTAAAGTGGTTCCAAGCTTTCTGGAATTTTTCTTGGGCCTAAAATAATTTTCCATTTACATGAAGTGGGAAATTATCCATAACATGACAAATATTTGATTCTAACTAAATCAAATAAAACCTTTAGAAAGCATTTATTTATACAGCGCTAAATATAAGATATTTTAAACAAGAATAGGCTGTAATTACCTCTGAGTATTTACACAGACTTTTTAATTAATTAAAATAAATCTAATAGAGTCATTTCATACCAATCTTGGACAACATGAGATCACAGCCACCATGTGGGACACATATGCTTTGGACAATCACCACAAAACTGAGCTCTGCATACACAGGCAGGAATTGTATTTATTTGTGTGGCATTTGGAACTCTGGTTTTGCACAATATACATAATAAAATAAATATGTGTTGAATAAATAAATGCACAAACTACTGGTGTAAAACCTATTTTGATAAATTGCACAAGCACCTGGAATCACTACACAAAGTCCATGGAAAAGGCATGCAAATCTGCCTAGCATCTATTTATACTAACCTTAATGACAACTGGAAAACAAGAAAAAAGGTCGGAGAGCGGCATTGTGCACAGAAGAATGTCAGAATATTTCCTAGAGAGGACCAACTGGCAGCTAAATACTTCCTCGCAGGAAGGCAGTGAGTTAATGAATTCAACATGGTCCAAGGCCTGTCCTTTATTCCTATGGGCTCAAAAACCCAACTGGCCAGAATCTCAGAAGCTGACTCACATAATCAATGTGAATCCACTGACTCTTGCATAAAACTAATGAGGCATATAACTAGTAAGATATAAGTAATAAGATACTGTTCCTTAACCAGCAAATCTTCTCCCTCTTGACAAATTATGTGAAATTCACCACCATCATTACAAATTAATTTCATAACAAGGAATCAGGCAAATGGAGAGTAAGTTATTAGAATGTTAAGCTGCAAACAGCCTCACAGCAGGATCATATCTGTCATCAGCTCCTGACAACATCTGTTTTGCTCACTTCCATATCTCTATTGCTAAGCACACAGTAAGGAAAACTGTATTTGTTGAACAAATGATCACTGTCCCCTGAGGAGGACTTGAAAGCTTTCTTTCCTGATTCAATCTTTCCTCATCCTAATGTGTGGGGGTTCTTTAATCCTTTTCCATATTGATATGTATCCAGTGACATCCTCATAAAACATGAATCTGATGTCACTGCTCTAGTTAGTGATACTCACATTTTTAACTAACTGGCAAGTTAAAAGATATTATTCCAGTTATTATTCAATTCTTTAGTCTCTCCCCACGACCCCTAACTTCCCTGGACCCTCCAAATCTCGCTATCCTAACTCTGTGTCCCACTCCCAACTCCTAACCCTGACTAATTACTAGTATTTCACGCCTCAATTTAAATGTTAATTTCTTCAAAAGCCCTCCTTTACTCCTCAAAGCTAGGTTCCTTTGTTATAAATGTTCCTAAAAACCATCCTTTTCCTTTGTTGCACTTATCATGCATATAACTAAATAAGGAAGAATATGACTACTTGATGCTCATCTCTCCACTAGATAGTGAACTCTAAGAAGAATCAAGTATAGTCTGTTATTATTCTATTCCTAGGCTTAGGTAAGTTCTTTCCTATACTATGTGCTCAGTAAATGCTTATTTAAAAAAATATATTTTTTATTGATTTTTTTTTTTTACAGAGAAGAAAGGAGAGGGATAGAGAGTTAGAAACATCGATGAGAGAATCATCGATCAGCTGCCTCTTGCACATCTCCCACTGGGGATGTGCCTGCAACCAAGGTACATGCCCTTGACTGGAATCGAACCTGGGACCCTTCAGTCCGCAGGCTGACGCTCTATTCACTGAGCTAAACCGGTTTCGACAGTAAATGCTTATTAAATGCAATAAATGATAATTCATTCCATTGGGTTACAGTTAGCTTTAGATGTTTTGGGAGTCATCATGTACGTCTCTTTAAATTGACTTTGCAAATTTCTACTGTGATTTAATAATGGCTAATTTTATGTTTAATTCTTAGAAGGCAAGCTTATTTCCCTTATTAAGAAGTTTTTGGCAATATCTCACTATAACCACCAATTCCCACAACCTCTTCTAATATTATTCATCTTAAACCAGCCAAACTCACTTATTTTTAAGTGAAAAAATTCAACTTTAATTTCATTTTAATAGAGATTTCTGCAATTTATAATATTTGAATATACTTCTTTGCCGAGCGTTTAAATTTTTGAAATTAAAAGGGATGAAAAGAGAATTTGAGATTATTTAGTTCCTTTTCATGGAGAATACAGCACTTTTAGCACTTTATTTCAAAAAGGTTACTATGTAGGAACTGGACCTCTGTGATCCATCTTCAGCATGGTCAGCTTTTGATGGAATTGGCTGAATTTCCCCAGGGCAAACAGAAAGAAGGGAGGAGGGAAGAGGATACAGAAACAAAGAGCTGTGCGTGTGGGCCAGCATTATAATGGAAACCCTCCTCCCCACACTCCCCCCCCCCACCCCAGGTGCCTGCCTGGGCTAGACAGGGGGAGGTAGAGGAGCTAGGGAGGGCCTCAGCCCAATTTTTTTAAATGGCCCAACGAAAGGCAGCAAGACCTAGGCAATGTATGAGGAAACAGGTGACCCGATAGTACTCAGCCAATGAGGAGCTGGAGGAGAGACTGAATAAATAGGCCGTGTTGGCTGCCCCAAGTGTGCCTATACAACAGTGACAGACACCCACTCTCAATCAAGGATGTATTAAAAGTCTTGTATTCACTATACTTCTGTCTCTGAGGCTGTTATTTGAATTCACTCAGACAGGTGAGCATTTCTCACAATTAACATATTTTATTAGTGCAAAGAACTTGGTGAGTGCATGGATCAGGACAGAGTGTCCCAAAAAGCACTCGGAGAACTGCTTGGCCGCACACAGAGTCGCACTTTTCCATCTTGCTGGAAGGACAAATGCCTGGTGCCTTGCCTTCCCAGTATGTTCTAATTCACTGCCATTTAGAAAACGCCCTAAATCCAGAAGTGCCTATACAGTGGTTGTCTGACCCAGTACATGGCTGGAGTCCACTTCAAAACGTTCATACACTGTTTATTCCCTTTAGCTTTCTAAAAGTTAGGAGGTCGATATGAACTAGTGAAACAAATGCTAGCCAGGTTCTTCTATGTGAAACTCATCAGACAAATTTTAAAGGTTGTCTATAAATGTGGGGTGAGGTAGAAAGGGGTTAAGGTGTTAAAGAAATCAGATTCAAAAGATCCTCATTTCACTAGTATCCCAAGTCCCCAGATGGGTTCCCCGGGCAGGGTTGCTGAGAAACTGCTGCTGTGGATACTAATAGAAAGAGAAAGGTAAAATGTTCCTATCCCCATCTCCAGGAAAGAGCCAAATATGTTCTCACTCTTGTCCAAAAGGTGCTTTTGATACTGTTGTATTAATAACAGGAAAGGCACACACACAAAAAAAGGAGGCCAGACATGCATGTCATTGTACAGCTTCACCAGGAAGCTGCAATGCCACACTCCCGAGGGAACCACTGGCCCATTCCCCACAGGTCACTAGGGGAAGAGGTCCAACAGGGATAGATGCAAGCCCAGTGAAATTGGGATGATACAGGATGGTACTTGCCTGTCAGTCAAACCTAGAAACAGGGATTACTGGCCAGAATAGGCAGAGCCACTGCAAGCACATCTGGGACACAGAATCCCCTAAACAAAGGCATTTGCTCTCTTGTTGCTCCAGGCTCACTCTTGGCCCTCTTGCATTTGCCTGTATGGCCCATGGCCATGTGCAATGGACTAATGGACTGCAGCAGGGAGCACAAGTCAAGTTAGCCTGATGCTAGACTGGAGTGAGCAGACATAAATGGAAACTCTGGACATCTGGACACTGGCTCTGATTTCAATGCTGCTGAAACCGAAGTTACACTTCTATGGCGGACTTGGGGAGAGGGAGCCTTGGAAACTCAGGGATTTAATTCCATGCAAATAAGAAGTCACTTGTTCTCCTGTGCGCGTCTGAGAAAATTCTTTTTCTCAGGATATTGCAAGAAATCCACTCCTACCAGCAACCAGCAGGGATGAAGACCTCTCCCCACAAGTGACACTTTCATGGCCCAAAATGTTCTTATGTAATATTACCTGCAAATTGTAACCTAAAGAAATTCTGGCTTTTAGGCATATTGGATTGTAATGCAACGCTTTCAGAAACTCCTTCTGTGCTTGTTTGTAGGCTTCACTGTGACCATATTCCATGTAAGAATTTCCCCGTCCAGTGTAAGCATCCACAAAGCAAGGATTGATACTAATAGCCCATGTGAAGAAAAGGACAGCTTCTTCAAACTCTTTGTTTCTGAAAACAAATAATTATTGATGCTTTCTGGTGAGTTACCGAAGTACTTTCCTGTATATAAAATTTTCATAAAGGTTTACATTCACTCTTACAAAAAAAATTTTCACTTTTATTATCCATCATAGGAAGTAAGAACATGATTCCACATGACCTAAGAAAGGCTGAAGGGGTCTTTGAAGATTGTGGTAAAAGGGAAAGAGGGAGCTAAGAGCCATTTTCATAGCAGAATATACTGGGATAATATCCTAGAGTTCTTTTTTCTTTCAGAATTATAAAAGGCTGCATGGCATTCCGGAACCTGTTTTTAATAGCTATCTGTGGCCAATATGGGGAGGGGGGAGTATATAGATGGAATACACTATTTAAAGCAAATTATAATAAATTTATATGTATTTATTATTTCCTTATTCAACAAAAGGAACCAAAATGTTATACATGGGAGTCCTTACTTCAGGTCTATAAAATTAGGCCCTTTCTTTTTGGACACCAGGAGAGAAGAGAAAAGGAAGAAAAATGCATTTTATTTATTAATTTGTAAATATATTCAACTAAATAATAATTCAGTTTTTCTTCCCTACTTATTCTCTTCTGGTGCAGGTGAGGGTTGGTAAGGGAATCAAATATGTTTCATAAAGGAGTTACTTTTGCATATATAATAATTATATTTCATCTCAATTAGCATATCTAATAATTACATTTCATCTCAATTAGCCTGGAGGAAGCCATTTTTCTACACCTATCTAGTTATCAGCACTAGCATGTAATGAGCATCTAGTCTGTTTCAACTAAGCAAATAATCATTAAACTTTAACACTGGAAAGGGATCTTGAAAATCATCTACCAACACTTCAAATCAGGTGACAACTAAAAATCAAGTCCAGGGGAGGTGACAAATCCAGAGACACCCAGCTCCCTGCATCAACAGGGGAAAAAACGATACAAGTGCCACGTAGAAACAATTTCATTTTTCTGAAGATGAGTACATCAGAGTGTCCTGTACTCTGAAGCTCTTGTTAAGTGATATGGCAGTTAGCAATGAAAAAAGGTATTATGTCAGGATACATGTTCATCAATACATAAAAGTCTTAGGTGTCAGCTACCACAAACATAAAAGTATGTTAAATTTGTTATTCTAAAATAAGATATGTTTGTGTAAACAATGCGATCACTGACAGAGGTGCATCTTCTCACCAGGACCCAGCCTTCTGTCGGGACTGTGAGCTGAGCTTGCAGTCTGTACCACAGACAGAGGCCACCACATTTTCTAAATCAATCACATACGTGGCCAGATGTGCCCTACTAAGTTGTACAAATAAATCATAAATACCTCCCCAAACTAAAGAATGTGGCTTGCAGAGTCAAAGTTTCAAAAATATTGTATGCAAATATAAGAATAGGAAAATCAATGTACTGAGGTAAAAAAAAAAAAAAAGTGGCTAGGATGTGTAACTCTGAGTAATCACGCTCTCCCTCTGTGACATTTTTTTTTTTTTTTCATATGAAGATGGCTCTCATAAAGTGATCTAAAAATCAACTGTAGCACAACACTCTTCCTGACCAAATTGGGGAACAAGTAGATATTCAGCCTAAGGAATGTTGTCTCCTAGCAACCACAAGAGTGAGAACCAGAGATATACAAAGGCATACTTCAAAGGTCTGCAACCGCCTAAGTTCAAAGATCAAAGACCTAAATTTCAAATATTTATTCCTTTTTAAATTGTTTTCCAATTGGGAAAATTTTTACTTTCCCCGCTGTAAGATACCAGAAATGAGTCTCCAATACTGAGAAACTGTACTACTATGATATAAGTGTGTTTCAGACTCCTTGAAAGGCAAAATATTTTTCCTGAAATAAATATAATCAATCACTAAATATTTCTTATTGTTAAATTCAGCAAAACTCAAAACACATGGAAATGGGGCTGTCAGTTATTAGGACTTTACCAGTGATTTAAATTCTACTTTTATTAAGGGACAATAGAGATTCTAATCAACTGATAAAAGTTGGCTATTTGGAATTGCAAAGCAGTATCAGCTTAAGAAGGCTCCGCCATGTAGTATATCCAGTGATTACAATTCATGAGAGAGATTGGGAACAGACACAGAGAAATTTACTGACTCATGTGCGAAACACAGGAATGAGTTTGGGAGAAATTTTGGAGTCTGTTTTTAATTTAAGAGTATGCAATGACCTCAGACATTTTGGGTCTGTACTCACCCACTAAAGCAAACATATCAGTCATCATTATTCCATCTCTTTTCAAGGATGACAATTACTTAAAGGGATGGATTGTACAAAGGTTGCTGGATTAAATTAGACAATGGTGTGACTGTGTTTTGCCGTCTATATAAACTAAGGATCCCAATTTAGGCCTTTAAACCCAAAGACATCTTCACAAATTTCAGTTATTACATTATTATTTTCATAAAATAAAATAAAAATCTAACTTTCATCGGGAAATATAGCTGTGCTATGTCCTAAAAATGAAAAAAAAATGTTTATTTCTTAAATAATTCAAAATTGGATATTTCTATAGCTTAGTCTATATAGTTTATGAACTATCCTAATTACCCTTCCAATTAATTGCTATTTTTTCTGTCTTAAAAAATAATACTGTAAACTACTAGTTAACCAAATAAATGTTATCTCACATAAAATCTTCCCATGCTGAATCTCTATACTTTTAAAAGCAAAATGACCAGAAACTAATTTAGATATTGTGTATATGTAGAAATGTAAAACTTATAATTAGTAAAAATCTATGTCAGAACAAATTATAAAGTGATCTTCTGTATTTTAGCCTATGTAACTGTTCTCTTCTCCCCTACTATAACTTGATTTATAGCAGGTAATAATGTTTTAAGTAATATATTTTTGTAGATTTTATTGTATCTTGCAGATGTTTACTGGTATTATTTTAATTAGTTTTAGATTTAGAATTATGTTTTCTAAATGCAAAATTTTTTTTTAAATAATTTTTTTAATTCACCCTCTCTTATAGTTTCCTTTATAGCTTTATAAAGGTTAGTTTCATTTTAGGAACAAAATTAATCACTTAATTTTATTCTTAGACATTTCAATCTGTGCATGATTTTATTCTGTGTATCACCCACATCCTTTTCCCCAGTAAATGGGCTTGAATCAGTGGTACCCAATGCCAGAATACAGGTATTTGCACGCAGACTTGGTTTAAATGCCTTATTAGAAGGTCGGAGGGTGCTGATGGCACCCCTGGTGTGCTCCCCACTTCTATGATTCTTTGCCCCTCCCCATTTTTTGTCCCTGTCACTTCCACATTTTCCTCTTTCTAGTCTTCTATTATAATTATTAGATGATTCCACCTGTTTTCACTTCAGCCTAAATTGCATACCTGTGACAGCACATGGCGGTGGCTTGATAAAGGCTCACATTAGTCTTGCTCAGAAATGCAGCTTGTTTAAAATCCTGAAACAGTTTTATACATTTTGTTAGTTTTGCACTATCATTCTTTGTGGTTTCTTAAACTTCATTCTAGCGTATATTCTACCACGAATATACGTAACACAAGCATTAACAAAGACATCTCAGCCCTAACCGGTTTGGCTCAGTGAATAGAAAGTCAGCCTGCAGACTCAGGGGACCCAGGTTCGATTCCGGTCAAGGGCATGTACCTTGGTTGCAGGCACATCCTCAGTAGGGGGTGTGCAGGAGGCAGCTGATTGATGTTTCTCTCTCATTTCCCTTCTTCTCTGTAAAAAATCAATAAAACATATATATATTTTAAAGATATCTTAAAACTTTTCTTTTTTCTTTTAGTATCACATCTAGTGAGAATGAATGGAGCAGAGGAAACCCATAACTGAAAATTCACTCAGAATATTGTGCTACTGGTCTGCACTTTCTCAGTGGCTGTGCCCTGGTGTGTGTAATGAGATCTCATTTACTTTCCTTTTATTGGTTTTTGTTGTTGTTGTTGTTGTTTGTTTTCTCAGTTCACACCACCAAAGACTTGCCCATCTAGATAGAAATGGAAATTCTCCTATCGAGAAACTTGGACTGTATAGGCCAACACACATCTAGACCCAGAAAAGGACATTCATTGGGCCTTCTTTGTGGATCAGCAAAGGCTGCTTCTGGGGAGAAGTGTATCATTTTGCCCAGGTTTCCTCGAATCCTCCTAAGAAGATCCTGGGGAAGCGGTTGTTTAAAGAGAATTAAAAGTCTGCAAGAGATCTTGCCTCTGCCGCCCTGAACACTGTCCCCCATTAGGCTCGAGTCAGTGTCCAGTGTGCGTAAGCTTTTCAAAGACCTACAGAAATGTTGGAGAACTGAGGCAAAATAAGAAGGAACATCACTACATTGAAACTAATACAATATTTAGATGACTATCTACATATAAAAATATCATGTAAGTTGCCATGATTCTGCTTTTCCCAAAGCACTACTTTAGCAGGAACCTTCTGGTAGTCTTGGTGGTAACCTCAGGTGGCCGCGCTACAGCAGGAGAGTGCTGTGACCTCCTCTGGAGTGTCAAAGGGAACCCCACCAGCTCCCTCCCTGGAGGCTGGTACCCGCACCCTCCAGACTCAGAGGGCAGGTGTCTGAGTTCTGGTGTCCTCCCTGGAGGAAGGAGAGGAGCTCACCATACAGACAGCCTCCCTCTTCCTCCTCCCACTTCCACAAACCTTCCCTGGCTGTAGCAGAGGGAGGAAGCTGGCTAACTTTCTGCAAACATTGGGAAGACAGAGGGAGTAGTAGGGTCAAGCAGGGTCACTGGAATCCTATTGGAGGAGGAAGGTTTCAGTCAGAGACCAATCTGTAGATATGGAATTCGCACTTAGGTTCCTGAAGTGTATTTTGATACTAAAAGGAACTGTTATTGGAAGAAAATAAGAAATCTATTGTCTGATCAAATGTGTAATATAATCAAATATGCTACCAGATAACTCCCCCAAATACTGTGTTATTTACTGATTTTATCCTCACCTGGGGGCATGCTTAGAAAGAGGGAGGGAGGGAGGGAGAGAGAGAGAGAGAGAGAGAGAGAGAGAGAGAGAGAGAGAGAGGGAGAGAGAGAGAGAGGGAGAGAGAGAGAGAGAGAGAGAGAGAGAGAGAGAGAGAGAGAGAGAGAGAGAGAAAGGGCGAGCTATCAGTTTCTTTCAGAACATGCCCCAACCAGGGATCAAACCCACAACCTATGCATATGCCTTAACCAGAAATAGAAGATGCTCAGCCAACTGAGGCAACCTGTCCGGACTAAGAGGACTGTCATAAAGTGGAGGCAAACTTAGTGGAATTGAGATTTATTACAAATTGAGATTTATTTCCTATTTATTTATCTTGGAAGTTGTGAGGAATGATCAAGAATTTAAAGGACTGAGAATACCAAGTTCAGTTTTGTAATCAGATAAAACTTACAAAAGTCAACCTGACTCTATATGTATAATTATCAGCAATAAACATGTGATGACTATTCTCATTGCTTAGAAAGCTAACTAGTTTTTATGACTTTCCCCTTCTGCATTCAATTGTTTTTCTAATATGAAGATCATAAATAACAAACCACACATAGCCACCCATACACAAGGCAAATTCCTTATTTGTAAGGACCTTCACCCACATTATCTTTGTGTCAGAAGACAGATTCTTGGCCTGGTTCCTTCTGTCTCCTCTGGAAACTTGCTCCATCATATTCCTGCCTTCTGTGTTTTTAATTCTTGTTTCATACCCCGACCTAACATGCCTTCCCCTCAGCCCTCCCTGCCTGCAAACTGCACATGGCCCAATCTTTCTAGTTTCTTTCAACTTCCTTGAAATCCTAGCTAACACTCACCTTCTCCACAAATCCCAATTCCATCAACTTCCTATTATTTGTGTTATTTAATGAAGGCCAATTTTATTTTGTCATTTGTAAACTGCACTGAAAGACATTTTTTATTTATTTACTTTTATTCTTAACAAAGTAACCCGTGAGCAAAGTGTATGGTGTCTAATACAACTAGAAAATTGACAGTGCTGGTGGCAATCCCCCGTTCTACTTCTCCTTGCCCCTGAGGCCCACTCACTCCCCAAAAGCAACTGTTTTTACTTCTTGCTGTTATTTACCTTCAAATTTCAAAATAATGTGAGAATTGTCATGTTTAACTTCCCACATAGGAGAGAATTTAGCTATCTTACCCCAGAACTCCACACCTCTCCTTTTCTCCCACCATCCCTAAAAAAAAAATAGTCTCTATTTTTCCTCTTAAGTGTAATATCCTTGGCTACCCATTCATATTACATTCGAGGCATTAAAATACAGAATAGTTTTTTGTGCCTGAACAATCTCTTTCCCACTATCTTCAACCTTGTGGAATTATATCCTTTTTATTCCTTTACTGTCTTCCTGGTAGGTTTTCAAGAGGACAAAGAGATATCCAACCCACTTAACCATTAACTTCCTAAACAATGCCAGTCCAAATGTTGCGCTCTGCTTCCTGACCAAGGATTCCTCGGAAGGCTGTATGAGGATCAATTACCTAGTATGTTGTCAGCACTCATCCCACTTGACCTCTCTGTTAATCAATCATTCTCACTAAGAAAATTTCCCTGCATAAGTGGTAAGACTGCTGATTCCTGTTTCTTCATCTAGCCATTCTATTATTCAGTCTTATATGTCTTCATTGGTTCTTTCTCATTTTTCTAATTTAATTTTTCAAATATTTTTTATTTACATAAAAGAAACTCATTTTTTTGTTGTTTGTTTGCTATTATTTCTGGGCAGCCAACATCTGAGGCTTGCCTGTGCCTCAGGCTGGCCCTGAGCAGCTGGGTGCTGAGGGAACTACAGGACTCTAGAGGCAGGCACCCCGGTGGGGTGAGGGGACTGGGTGCCGCCATCTTGTGGCTGTGGGCACTGCCATCTTTGAAGGTGTGGCAGTCAATTAGCATATTCCCTCCTTACTGGCTGTGGGCACCATCATCTTTGCTATGGTGTGATGGTCAATTTGCATATGCCCTTTTTATTAGATGAGATTGTTTTAATTTTCTAATATTCTATTTTAATAAGTCTACATTTTTGTTTTGTTTGTTTGTTTGTTTGACTGAGGGGGTCACATTTGAGTAGAAACCTGAAATGAAAGATGAGCATGAGCCACACACAGATTAGTAGGGAGAGCATTCTATGTACAGAGAAGAGCTTATGTGAAGTCCCTGGGGTAGGAAGAAAGCCTGGCATTTCCAAGGAAGAGCAAAATGCCAACGTGGAGGGACCTGGGTGCAGAAAAGACAATGTTTGACAATGAAGTCAGATCAATGAGTGACAGTCAGATCATGACGGGTCTTCGTTGGCCATAGTCAACAGTGAAATTTTATTCTAAGTGTGATGGGAAGTCACTGGAGGGCTCTGAGCAGAGGAACAACACAGTCTGCTTTCTGTTTTTAAGGGGTCTGTCTGCTGTTGTTTGAAGAACAGCATGTAGAGACAGGGACAACAGCAGAAGCAGAGAGGCCAGTTGGGAAGCTCCTGATCTAGTCCAAGGGAAAGATGCTTGAGGATGGAATTAGGAAGATAACAGTTGCAAAAAAAAAAATGAGAAACTGCATTCAAAACATGGTTTGATGACAAAGCCTACTGAACTGTTGGATGTAGAATATGAGGAAAGAGAGGGGTCAAGACTGATTTCGGATAGACCATGAGCTCCTCAAGGACAGGAAATCTGCCTTATTTATCTCCACACCTTCAATACACAGGATTTGGAATCAGGTGAGACCTGAGATCAAATCATACCCTAGCACTTCCTGGATAAAAGACCATTTCACCTCTTTCGAATATCAGTTTCCTCATCTGTGAGTTGCAATTATAAATTGTGCAGCATTGTTGAGAACCTGGTATGTTGATATTAAACACCAAATAAATATGTGCCATATAGATAACACAGATCCTGCATTTAATTCTCCAGCAGCTGAGGTCTTTTGCTCCCAACCCCCCCAACACCCCTACCCCCATTTTCCTCACTTCTCTACTCCCAACACTGTTCCTTAGAGTTCCGTGGCTTTCTTGCCTACTCCTGAGAAATTCTTTAGTTCCCGCTCCCTGAGGAAATTCCAAACAGTGTAACCTAAACCTAAAGGAGTTCAACTCTTGGAATTACATTTCATCATAGTGTAAATTGCTTAGAATACAGTTTCTCAGACACTTCCTTAATACATTGTGGACCAATAGTTTTACTGCTAGCTTTACCCAGTGGCCAGATAAGTTTCTATTGAACAAGTACAAAAAATGTTATACATAAATGTTAAAGGCATGCTTTAAAATTAAATACCCATTGCATTTTGATATTATTTATTACATATTATTACAAGCCATTATCTTTTTAAAGTATGATACTTTGTAAAACAGTGTCATATGAAGCGAGAATTCTTGTGATCCGTCTGCAAAAATAATAATAAGTAATTCTGTGGGGAAGAACCTCAAAATATGACTCCAAAGGTAGAAAAATAACACAAGTCACTTTTGGAGATGAAAAGAACCAAGAAACACTCCATTACATAATGTTCTGTTGTGGTTCCTCAGAAACAAAGAAGCAAAACTACCGTTATTCAACTGCAAACTTTGTTTGATTTGTCTTGTATTTCTTAATCTTAACTCCAAAGTTAATTTTAAAAAACAAACAATACAAATAAGATCAAAGTGAGATGGTAAGTTTTGTCTAATTGTTCTACAAAGAAATGCATTTTTTAACCAAAGAAACCATGTATCTTTGTGGTATATCGCAGATGCTATCTCTACTACAATCCTGAGTGCCTGCTCCCTCCATTCTCAGTAGCCTATTCTGAGCAGGTATTTTCTACTCTATACAAAACAATCTGATTTAGTTTGATATATTTTCAATGGAGACTGAAGAAAATTATAAATGAGAGAGAGCATTAAGCAGCAAAGTAAATATATAAATCATTTCATTTGCTAAACAACTGAATATTTTATAGCCAAGATACTCCCTTGGGGGTAGTGATAGTCTTGAACTTTCACCAAATTAGAAACTTTTTAAAAAATATATTGACTATTTGCCTGTAATCAAAACTAAGTAAAAATACGCATGTTTTACAAAAATTCTATTAGTCATTCAGAGTATTTCAATATGATTATTGCTAAAGTTTAGTTATTGCTCATTAATATTGCCATTAATGTAGCAAGAAAAACTTGTTCACTATTTTCAGAAGTGAGCATGAAAAATCAAGTGAGTTCAGGTTTACCTCTAGTGCAAAGTGGTGATGCCCTTGTCCTAAGTAGATGAGTCCACGATTAACTAAGGTATTGAATGCCACAGTTTTCCCAGGATCAAGAAGAAGCACGATGCCATAATCTATTAATGCCTAAAAATAAAAGGAAGCGCTTACAACCTGGATTCAACTCTTGAGAGCCTTGCTCCATTGGCCAAGGAAAAATGTGTTAATGCCCAGAGTAGAAACCCATAGTTAGTATTTAATTTGACTTACAATTTATGGCTCTGAATAGTCATTTGTTGGATGAAAAGGGGCCCCTTAGCTAAATATTTGCTGCTGCATTTTAAGATGCGGGCCGACTATGGCTGCACTTCACGAGTTCTGGTGAAGCATCCCAAGCATTTCCATTGTGATCGGGTGGAAGAGGCACACCACGCGCAGCCCCCATGCAGCAGTCCCCCACAGGACTGCCCACATTAAAGCAGAGCACTTGTCCTTGGACATTTAAGTTCTTGTTAGTATGTGATTGTTTTTCTCCCGGAAACCTAAGCTTTCTGGAGGCAGAGCTTATCCTTATTTTTCACCATCACAAAGTCAGTAAGCAGCACTGTGCCTGCACATAGTAGGCATCAATAACTGATTGTTGAGAGAATAAATCATGAATCAATGTAAGTGGGTCTTAATATAACAAAGACGCCTGTTGGAAAATTACTTAGATATATTAGGTTGGTGGTTTTTGTTTTTTGTTTTTAAGACATTCATCTCAGTTGAGAATTAACTCAGAGAATCTTTCTCTATTACTTTTACCTTTTTATTTCATTCACTGAACAAACAATTTTTTACTGGTCATCGTTCTACATCAGGTAACGGGACCATCCCAAATTTGAGTTGGAGCTGAATCTCTTGCCTCATTTTTCGACTGAACATTTTGTCCAAAAGAGCCATATAATTTCATCAGAAAAGGGCCAGAACTTACATGCCTATAGCATGTGCTAACTGAAAATGTAAATACATAGTATTTTGTGTTTGCTCAGTGCTGCTCTAGTATTTCATGATTAGGCACTAGTGTCTAAAAGAATTGTAGAGTTATATACATTGTGGCATAGTTAATAACAAACATTGCCAGGGCTGTAAAAATAATTCATAATACTTATAAAAACAAAACTAAAATGTTAGCACTTTTGCTTTTATAGAATCAGAGAATGGGAAACCTTTAGGATGCCTCAAGATCCACTAGACAGCTGGATATGTGACACCAGAGAAAACAAGAGCTATAAAATTAGTTTCATGAAGCTTAATCAGCAGGATTTCTAACATGCCTCTGCTGTTATTACTAGCTTTTTAGTCTCAGGTAAGTTACTAGCTTCAGTTTCCTCACCTGCAAAATTGGGATATCAATAATTCATCAGATGGTCGCACAAATGAGTTTTGATGATATATGGATAAAACGTTTAGCCCAGTGCCCCACACACAATTAGCTCTAAGTAAGTGGTAACTGTTACTACTTTTACTAAGGTAACAGGAATCAGAATTCAACTGTTCTTAATTTTTATGAAACCGGATCTTAAGAGAATGTCTAAGTGCGTTTTCTCCAGAAAGATACCTGGGTTTTCTCAATGTAGTGCTGGCAGCCATGCTAAAAAACGAGAGGAGATAGACATGAAGGGAGGAGGTAGAGAAAAAGGGAGGAGGCGACCACTGTTAAATGGCATCCGTTCCTGTTCCTCGTGCTGGAGGTCAAATGTTTTCACAAAGCCACTTACAGCCTGTTAGCCAGAAGCAAACAAACCTGTGAACAGCAGCACAGGCCTGTACTCCCTGTGTGACTTGGATGTGTTTCTAACCTCTCCCACCTTCCATGTCCTCATCTAGAAAATGAGTGTCTGGATAAAATGGGTTGGGTACATGCCAGCTCCAAAATCGCCAAGATGACTTTTTCTAGTAGGTACGTGTCTATGTAGGTAGGTTTTTCACTTTCTTTATTCAGAGTGTGGGGCTCCAGTTACTTATCAGAGACAACAAAAATGGGAGTTCCCTGCCTCCACCCAGCCCATTGTTTGTGGCTTCAGAGTTACCCAGAAAAGGCAGGAATGGGGGTGGGGAGGTAGTCATCAAAGATACCTGCAGTGCAGGTTACTCTGATAAATGAGCTCTTAATTAGTCCTATAATCTTAACAACCCCTTTGTTAAAAATTATTCATTTATCAGTGGTTTTGTAGGAAACCTGACCCTCTGGTTACCAGGAATTCTACAGCCTTTGAGAAACAACGTTTCTCAACTTCCTTCCATAGCAAATAAATTTCAAAATCTCTAAATGTTTGAAACAGATTTGACTGCCCACGTTTCCAGGACATGGGTAAGCATGTCCAACAGCTGGCATGGACCTGGATAGAAATAAGGAGGGGAGACAAGAGGACAACAGAGGAAGAGAAACCAGGGGAGAGGACATAACACTAAGAAGACCACAGACCAGCTGCTGCCCAGTGAAGAATCTTGACTGGAAAAAAGACCAAACAGACAAAGAAATGGAGAAAGAGGAGAAAGATTAGAAAAATCTAAAAAAAATGGCTTGCACAGGTAGCTATACAAGACAAATAGAGAAAAAGGATTGCTGCAGCCATCAGCTAGGCCTGCAAAAAGCACAAGCAGTATTTGTCACTGGTCACTAGTCCCCATAACTAGAAACCATCATTCAAAACTAAGCATCTGTGGCCTGAAAACTGTGCAAAAAATACCTCAGCAAATTCTGAAGTAACAGTATTGCTAACAGTCACTGCTTAGAAGTACTGCAAACGATGTATCAGTAGAAACATTTACCCTAATGAGAATTATGGAATGTATCTTAATTTATACATGTCTTTAAATGCTTTTGTAAACATTATAAAATCAATTTTTGTGTGACATTGCTGAGATTGTGTAAGACAATTTTGTGAGCATTATAAAAATAATAATGACTTTTGAAATGATTTTTTTGGATTCTCAAGTTTTGTGTGTGTGTGTGTGTGTGTGTGTGTGGTATGTGCATATTTCCAAAAGAATTATTTTTCAAAATTACAACAGAGATAATAAAAAATATTTTACTCATGCTTTACGTATGTTTACATATACTTTAACATTTGGTCATCTTACCATCTGAAGTTCACCTATCTTGGTGTAACACAATGCTCTGTTATAAAATGCTACATAACTGTTTTTGTCCATGTTGATAGCGGTAGTTAAATCTGTAATCGCTAGCTTACAGGTCTACAAAGGAAAAAATAATTAGGTGAGAAGGGTTAGTCATAATGGACTGACATTTAATTGTAAAAGAAATTATTGATTCTATCAGACTTTTTGGAACACTCTGTGCAGCATCTGTGATATTAAGACAATCAAGCTCATCTTTCACCAAGTTAATTAAGAAAATCTCACAGTAGGAATTATTATTGTAGTTTCTGTTACTTGCAAATAAAATTAAATATATAAAGAATTTTAATTTAGATGATTATCTTATTGCCAATGTTGGGAAAATTACACTTCTTATTGGTAAAAGAGAAGCAAGTCATGTTCCTCCAGTAAACATTCACCGGAGCGTGCTTGCTTCTGTCATTCATACTGTCAGATCCCTCACCGTCATGTTTTCTACCTACACTCTCTTTTGCTTCCTCTTTGATGCTTCTCTAATACCTTGTGACATCCGTTTCTATAGATAGTAATTTTCATGTAATTAATACATAATACAAGGTCTCATCTTCGCTTTAAGGAATCATTTGCAAAATATTTCATATGAAATAGCTACAAAAAGGTTCAGAAAAGAAAAGTAAGAAAAATAAAGTATTCCATGAAGCATTGGATATCAGTGCTACTAACTTCTCTTTAGGAATAAACTATAAATTCAAGCAATGACTCGGTTCTCAGTGTGTATACTAGTAACTGTAATGTGTAAAATAGTAAAAAAAAAAATTAAAAACTCTAATGTCCAACAATCAAGTGATAAAAAATAAACTTTGATAAAATATTCTTCAGTCACTGAAAATGGTATCCTCAAAGGTTAAGTGTGAGAAGCAGGGCACAATACAAATTAGATAAGTAGCATAATCCCACTTTGGAAAATATATTCCATATATTATTAGAATAAAAAAAAGACAATGCAAATACATCAAATGCTCTCAGGAATCTTCAGTTGGTGGTGAGATAATAGGTGACTTTAGTCTTCTTTATTCCCTCTTTGTATTTTCCAAATTCTTTACAATGAATAATATGTTACTTTCTAAATAATGTTATTTAAAATGTAAATGTCCAAAAAACAAAAAAACAAAAAATAAAAAACAAAAACAAAAAAAACCCTACTATTTTGTAAGCCTTTTGATGTACTGTGGAAGTGTAAGGTGTCCCATGCAGCTTTGCCCTTAACACTGTGCTGATACTTCGTTCAAGAATTAAAAAAAGGAAGTGCGTCCCTACTGGCATCCAAGCATCACTCACTCTGTTTTCTGTAAACAAGACAGGAAGTCACCTACCCTGTTGTGGTATTTGAGAACGCCTCTGTAGATGTAAGCTCGCACACTCTGAGGATAAATTTTGATGGCCTCATTACAGTTCAAGATTGCTTTGGAGTATCTGCCTTTCAACCCATAGAAGGCTACTCGGTTTAAATATGCCTTTTCAGAGAAAGAGAAGAGGAAAACAGGAATGTGTGTTATAGTGAAAGCATTAATTATACCAAAAGATAGGATACTTTGAACAAATCTATACCACCCAAAGATGTTATAAAATGTAGGATTTTTCCAAACATACAGAATAATTGAAATAGTACAATGAACATCCATATAACTACCACCTAAATTAAATAATTATTAATATATTTGCAATATTTATTGCATCAACTTTTCCCTGAACTATTAAAAAATATGTTGTAGACATTGTAACAATTCACCACAGCTCTCCAGTATGCATCTCTTCTGAAGAAGACATTTTTTTTGTACAATCACACTACCATAATAAGAATATTAATAGTATTTCCCTAAAAAGATTTAATATTTGTTCCATATTTAAAATTTATAGACTTTTAAAATCAGGATCCAATAAAACAGATGAAGTTTTATTGGATCCTGATTTTAAAAGTCTATAAATTTTAAAAGTCTACAAAAAAATTTAAATTTTGTGTTATCTGTTTAGTCTCTTAAAAATAAGAAATAAATGCAATAGCAAAACAAGAAGTAAATAAAATTAATAACATAGTATATAAAATTATAATTAGTAATAGATACATTAAAAGGTTAACAATATTTATATACATCGCAATTTATAAAACACATATGTAATATTCCAGGTTTTAGTTCAAAGGGAAATACAGATATATGCATTATTAAAACAATTATATGAAAAGTAAGTATAAGTAATCAATTGTTGCTAACTAATAACAATGACATATGAAGGATTTAATAGTTTTAGCAAATCTATAACAACTTCTCTAAATCACCAGAAGTATTCATTTAAATACCTCATAATGCTGTGGATTGAAGGTAATTGCACGGTTAAAATCCAGGATTGAGCTATCCCTGTGGAGTTTTATTTTACAAAGCCCTCGTTGGTGGAAGCCTTCTGCAAAACTGGGATTTATTTTCACAGCTTTGCTAAAAAAATCAAAAGCCTAGAAGAGCATATTGTTACAAAGCAAATGGTTTAATAAGCAGAATTTGTTAATTTATAATGCTAATAAATTATAGTATAGCTGCTATTGAAAGTTTTCCATCTTTTTCTGGTCATTTTAAATACATTTTTCCCAATGAAACTTGTGGAGCAAACAAAAGTAATACTTATTAACTAGTCAGGTTTAGTATTATAATTTACTAGCCCCTTATTCCCAGATTAATGTTCGCATAGTCCAAGTTGTTAGATTTCGATAATTTTGCATGTAAATTTAATCATTATTCTTCATATTGTGTTCCTTCAAAGAAGCCACAACCAGCACACTTGTTTTCAAGGAGGGCCCAAACATTTCATAGCAGATGCATAGCTATGAAATTTGAGAATGATAGAACTCCAAGTTTTCCCCAACATAGTAGAGCAAAGTTAGTTTTAATGCTGGTTGGACAAAAGGGTTTAAATCATGAAAAAGATTTGTAATTAATCTTATTAGAATTTCTTAATAGAACAATTAATCAGGTGCAACTCTGTTTCAAGGTTTGAGATGCAAATTTTAGACACTGTCCACTCCTATGAATATAAGGATAGGAATGGTGTGTGTGTGTGTGTGTGTGCGTGTGTGTGTGTGTGTGTGAGTGTGTGTGTAAAGATACAGTTGTGAAATACTCAATGTTAGCCATTAGAAAATAACTATTATTTTACATATTGGACAATTTTGAAATGGAGACTTCTGTAAAATAGCCAAATATTGGATAAGTATGTAAATATTGACTCAACTGGTTTTCAATGATATCCTGGCTATCTAAGTAACCAGTTTCAATCTTTGAATTTTTAGTCATCATTAAGAGAAATTAGTGTGCTAATATTTTCCATTTATTCTATATTAGAATGAATCACTCAATTTAAAGTACTTAAATTTAATAGGTAAATTTATATTAATGTGATGAAATTATTTTGCTATAATAATTCTTACAGTTAGATTGTTTTGGTGAAAAACATACATTAGTCTTTACAATACTATTGAAAAATAAGCATCAAATAAAACAAACATGTTGGGTAAATAAAACAATGCAGTAGGTGTTGCAGGATGCATATTGTCTGTAACAAGCCACACCTTATAAGAAGCGTTGGTCTACTCTATTGGTCACTTCCTGTAGAAGTAACCTTCAGAAATAGAACTAAATGCAATCATTTTCTAAAAGTAAGCTAAGTTCCTAAATATACAAAATACCATTTGGAAGTTGCCTTCATCCATGTAACAAAGACCCAAGTTATACAGACAGTCCACTGACGCCTCTAAGGCATTCGATCCTTTCTCATTCGGATGAGAACAGAGATCCAACACCTTTTTAAACAGTCTCATAGCTTCCTACAAGGTGAAAAGAGAGAATGGCTGAGAATGTTTCTTTCTACTGTTTACTTAACATGACAGTAAAACCTCAAACTAAAAGGAATCCTGAGCACACAGCCCTCCTCACATACAGATCTTGTCCATACACAGTGAGAAGACCATTCCCTGTCTGATCTCAGCATGTCCCACAAGGTGCCTATCCTAGAGCCAGTGCTTAAGCAGGCTCTACATGAGGAGTTTAGAAACTACATTTCCTAAATTCTAAAGATTATTTTCTTGAAGTCTTAAATTAAACTTAAAGTTGTAGTCTAATTTATGACCAATTTCCTATAATTTTCCTGAAAGGAATACAGAGCAGCTTTTAGGTAGGAGAAAATCTCCAATGATAATATCTGATGTGATTTTAACCAACCTTTGTTTTGTCCTGCTGTGCTGTTAATAGAATTTCATTGACACCAGAAAATAACATAAAAAAATAACCCATTTAAACTATTTAATCAAAATACTTGCAAGGCTTTAATGAAAAATATTCAAATTTTCAGATAGAAATGTCTTTCAAATCAGCTAATTGCAATACATCTATATAGAAACAAAAAAACCTGTGACCTTTTAGCCCATTTTCTTAATTCTATTACATTGCAAAAGAAATAATGAGCTTTAACTTGGATATGCTAAGTGCCCATTTAAAAATTTTAGCATTTTCTCTACATGTTTATATCCCACCACTGCATCCATTTTTCCATCCCTACTCTTAGCACTTGACCTAGACATAAGAAAAATCATCACCTCAATTTCCTCCTTTTAACTTTTCATGTATCTATTTCTTTCTCCATTTCCATCTTTTTCTCTTCTGTCTTGGAATGATTTCCTTTCTTCATCTTTTCAGATCCCATCTGCCTGACGTGAGTACAACCTGTAATGTCCTTCCTCTTTTGGATCTCTGCCCCTTCACTGTCTCCGTGAGTCCATAAAACTTCCTTCTCATTTAAATGTAAAAGAATACATCTTCACTTCCTCCTGCTTTCTCCTCTAGCTGATGTCCATTTCTCTCTCACTGCTCTGAAAAGTATCTTCAGTAGCTCTTGTGGGTTTACAGGTAAGGCATATTTATTTACATTCTGAAAACAGCACTACAGCTGTTGTGTAGATAAACACTTGGAAGGGTGCGACACTGTTGTTATAATTCAAGCAAAATAACACCTAAAGCTGGGCATTGGGAGATAAATGGGGAAACTGTAAGGGAAGAAAGCATAGCTGGCCCGCAGATGCAGCCCTGCAGCCAAAAGTTCACAACTCAACTGTGAGCGAGTGTGCAGCCTGGCTAGGAGAGGGAAGAAAGCTGGTGGTAGCAGGCACTTCCTTCCGCAGGAGGAACAGAGAGCTGCCGAAAGGCATCCCAACAGGGCGAACTTCAAATTTCAAGAGGCCAGAGAGAACAGTGTTCAAGTCATGCCCGTGAGCAGTGACAGTGAGCAGTGATCACATAGTGAACAGACTCCCAAAACTCACCGCCCATTGTCCTTGGAATTGGTTCCAGGAGCTTTTATCTGTAAACTGAGAACTGTTGCAGTAGAACTGCTGTTTCTGTGACTGATTTGGGGTGGGGGGTGAGGGGAGATTAAAAGGAGGAAGGGAGGGAGCAGAGATTGGGGCAAAACCCATAGAGGTCAGGGGTGGGCAAACCCTACTCCCAAGCAGCAGGTGGATACTGTCCTATGGAAGCCTCCAAGGCTCAAATCTGGGAGACCACAGATATAAAAACTTGTGACTCATTGCCATCTACTGGAATAGTAGAAAGACCTCTTTAGAGATAAATGTGAAAACAAAGGAGGACAGCAAATGCAATGAAAAACCACAGTTATGACAATGACCAGAAAGAAAATAAAAAATCCCCAGAAAGCAGTCTTGAAAAAGTGCAGATTTCAAGACTGCCATTCTGAAAATACTCTAAGAAATGCAAGAAAATACTAACAGGCAATTCAGTGCACTCAGAAAACAAATCAATAAACAAAATGAGTACTTTGCCAAAGAAAATGAAACTTTAAAAAAATAATCAATCAGCCGAAACAGGTTTGGCTCAGTGGATAGAGCATCGATCTGCAAACTGAAAGGTCCCAGGTTCGATTCCGGTCAAGAGCATGTACATTGGTTGTGGGCACATCCCCAGTAGAGGGTGTGCAGGAGGCAGCTGGTCGATGTTTCTCTTTCATCGACGTTTCTAGATCTCATTCCCTCTCCCTTCCTCTCTGTGGAAAATCAATAAAATATATTTAAAAATAATCAATCAGAAATCCTGGAAATAAAACATGCAACTAAGATTAAAGAGTAAACTGTTGAGCATAGAAAACAGAACCAAACAGTTAGAGGAAAAAACTAGCGATATCAGAGCTAGGAATCAAAAAATGATGAAGAGGGGAAAGAGAGAGACCTGAGAATACAGAAAAATGAAAGAGCTCTATGAGACCTCTCTGACTCCATCAGCAGAAGCAATATCAGAATCATAGACAATGTGGAAGAGGAAGAAAGGGAGCATGGAATGGAGAGTCTATTAAAACCAATAGTGGATGAGAACTTCCCAATATATGGAAAGAACTAGATCTTTGAATCCAAGAAGCAAACAGAATGACTAGTTACCTCAATTGAAAGAGACCCTCTCCAAGACACTTGATAATGAAGCTGTCAAAAATTAATGACAAAGGAAAAATTCACAAAGCAGCCAGGGTAAAAAAAAAAGGAAGTGACCTACAAAGGAAACCCCATCGAATTTTATCCAACTTCTTAGCAGAAACTCTATAAACCAGAAGAGAATAGAAGCAAATATTCAAACTTCTGAAAGAAATTACCAGCTATACATACTATATCCTTTAAATATGAAAGAGAAATAAAGATGTCCCCAGACATACAGAAGCTGAGGCATTTTATCACTAAAAAAAACTCACTTGCAGGAAATATTCAAGAGAGTTATTCTATCTGAAACTAAGAACATAGGTTACACTATGAGGAAAATCACAAAAAAAACTTACAGCATAAACAGAGATAATTTGTGACAACAAAAACATACAACATGCACTCATGTTGGAAAAAAACAAAACTATAGTATATGAAATTTTATTTCTTACAAATCTAATGTCAACCACACACAAAAGTCCCTAAACCAGGACATATTGCTTTAAAATAGAGAAAACAAAAGAAAGATGTATGGAACACCACCAAACAGAAACAACAGACATAAACATATAGGAAAAGAACCAATAGAAGCACAGAGCTACCAGAAAACAAAAGATAAAATGATGATAAGAAATCCTCATCTATACTAATAAAAGCCTAGGTGGCCCTTGCAAAACACCTTCACATCATCACAAGATGGCTGCCACAAGATGGCCACCAGAGGAGGGCAGTTGTGGATGATCAGGCTGGCGGGTGGGGGGGGAGGCCCACTTGGAGGTGATCGGGCTGGCAGGGGAGCAATTAGGCATCAATCAGACCAGCAGGAGAGTGGTTAAGGGGCAATCAGGCTGGCAGGCAAAAGTGGTTAGGTGCAAACAGGCAGGCAGACAGGTGAGCTGGTAGGAATCAGCGGTCCTGGATTGTGAGATGGATGTCCAAAACCCGTAGTCGGACATCCCCGAAAGGGTCCCAGATTGGAGAGGATGCAGGCTGGGCTGAGGGACACCGCCCCTTTCCTCTTCCCCTCCCCCCATGCAAGAATTTTATGCACTGGGCCTCTAGTACATCAATAATTACCCTAAGTGTAAGTGATCTGAATTTACCAATAAAGAGACACAGAATAGCAGAATGGATTTAAAAACAATACCCAACCATATGCTGCCTACAAAAGATACATTTAAGCAGCAAAGACAAAGATAAATTCAAAGGAAAAGGCTGGAAAATAATTCTCCAAGCAAATAAAGTCCACAAAAAAAGCAGGTGGAAGCCATACTGATATCTGACAAAATAGATTTCAAGATAATAAGAGACAAATATGGACACTTTATAATGGCAGAGGGGACACTACATCAAGAAAACATAACACTTCCTAACATATGCACCCAAACAGGTAGCACCAAAATATATAAAACAACTACTCACAGGAATAAAGGGAGAAACATATCAAAACACAATCATAGTTGGGGACCTTAATACTCCATTGACAGTTCTAAACAGATCAACCAAACAAAAAAATCTATAAAGAAATATTGGCCTTAAATGACACACTAGACCAACTGACATTTACAAAACATTATATCCCAGAACATCAGATTTTACATTTTTTTTCCACTGCACATGGAACATCTCAAGGATAGACCATATGTTGGGTCACAGAACTAACATCAACAAATTCAAAGATTGAAATTATACCAAGCATATTTTTCTGACCACAATGCATTGAAATTACAAATCAACTGCAAAAGGGAAGTAAAGAACCTCACAATATGTGGAGATTGAACAACATACTACTAAAAAATGACTAAATCAAAGAAGAAATAAAAGATGAGATCAAGTGATATATAGAGACAAATGAGAATGATAACATGACATATCAAAACCCTGGGATACAGCTAAAAAAGTATCTCAAGAAGCAAGAGAAATCCCAAGTAAACAGCTTACTATCACATCTTAAAGTACTAGCAAAAGGAGAACAAAAGCAACCAGTCAGCAGAAGAAAGGAAATAATAAACATTAGAGCAGAATTAAATGAAATAGAGAACAAAAAGACTATACAAAAAAATCAATATAACAAAGAGCTGGATCTTTGAAAGGATTAAGAAAATTGACAAACCCCTGTCCAGACTCACTAAGGGAAAAGGTCCATGTAAACAAAATCAGAAATGAGAGGAAATCACTACAGACATCACAGATATAAAAAGGATCACACTAGAATATTATGAAAGACTTCATGCCATCAAATTCAATATCCTAAAAAAAAATAAATGCTCCTAAAAATATATGACTTTCCTAAACTAAATCATGAAGAATGGAAAAATCTAAATAGACTAATCAGCAGTGAGAAAATTAAA